CCCCAAATCAAGGTCTCCCATGGGGAGTCAGCAGAGCCCAGCAAACTGAGCCCAGGCAGGTCCAGGCCCCTTCCCACTGTACCAAGGCTGTGCAGGGCATCACACCACAGGCACTGGATTCCTAAAAGCCTGCCCATGCACCAGGGATGGATCCCGATCCCCCTGCGTGGGTGCCCCCCAAACAGTTCAAGCCAAACAACCATCTTCTGTATCCAGAGGGCCTAGTCCAGTCCCATGGGGGCTCCACAGCCACCAGTCCACAGTTCATGTGTTTCCACTAGTGTGGGCTGGTCATCTCTGCACATCCTCCCATCATGATCTCATCGCCCCTGGCCTACAGAATCCCTCCTCTCTCTCAATGATTGGATTCCCGAAGCTGAGCCTGGTGCCTGGCCGTGGATCTCTGCATCTGCCTCCATCAGTATTACCTTTTGTCTAAAATGTTTTGACCACAGTGTGAAGTGTCCCCAGACACTGATGCTGCAACAGACTTAGGAGAAGAATCTTGGGGTTCATCTCATCCTAGGGTTCAGGCAAAGCTCCTTGACCTCAGAGGATATGTCAAGGAGACACTGAAGTACAGAGGAGTGTTCTTTTAAAGTGTGTGTGTGAGAGAGAGTTTATGTACACCAAGTGCATGCAGCCGATTGTGGAAGCCAGAGGGTGGATCTCCTGGAGCTGGAGTTACAGGTGGTTGTCATTTGCCTGGTGTGGTGCTGGGATTTGAACTAAGTCCTCTGCATTAGCAGTTAAGTACTTTTAGCCCCTGAGCCATCTCTCCAGCCCCAGGAACTGAGTTCTTAAATCTTAGGCATTCTTTGCCTCAGTGTTTCTATCAGTTCCTTTTCTCGCTGCTGTGCCCAGAACCCTGACAAGAAGCTGGTGAGGGAGGAGGGGTTTATCATGGCTCACAGTTCCAAGGGATTCAGTTCATCGTGGTGGAAGAGGCAGGGTAATAGCATGAGGCAGCGGGTCTCACTGCCGCGGCAGTCAGGAACTAGAGAGCAGACAGGAAGTGGGCTGGGCTGTAAAACACGAGAGCAGACCTCCAGCGCTCCACTTCCTCCAGCAGGGCTCCATCTCCTAAAGATTCTGAGTCTCAAACAGCACCCCAGCTGGTGACTGAGTGTGAAAACACACGAGCCCGTGTGGGACATTTCACAATCAAACCACAACAGTGCTTCTGTGGCGTCTACTGAACGGGGCAGCGTTTGGTGATCTGACGGCCTGGGGCTCACTTCCTCTGTGACTTTGTCAGCTTGCTAATGGGTCTGTTGTGTTTGGGGATTGATAACTTGAGAGCCAATGAGCCGCAGAGAGATGCTTCATCTCCAACTGCCCTGCAGTCTGCAGTGATTTCGGTTTTCCAACTCTCTAGCATCGTCTGTGCGCCCATTCCCATAAAATCCACTAGGAGAGCTGGAGACAAGCATTATAAACTCTGTCTGCCTGCTGTGGCAGCTACTGCATTATTCATGGCTTCACTTAAACTTAGTGATTTAAATTAGAATAAAGTGATAACTTCTGACCCTCTGACCACCTTGCTGTCAGACAGACAGACAGACAGACAGACATTTGACAGCAGAGACTTCTGCCGGGGAGTCTGTTCTCTGCATTTTCTGAGGCCATGCTTGAGGCTATGGATCTGAAAGGCTCCCCGGAAGGCTCACGGATTGATGGCTTGGTCCCTGATGCAGTGTTGCTCAGAGGTGAGCAGTCATGAGGCCGGGAACTTGTCAGTGGATTCGCCCTTTGATGGATTTATTTCTACTTGATTTATGTGTGCATGTGTGTGCTCGTGGAGGACAGAAGAGCGCTTACAATCCTTGGGAGCTGGAGTTACAGGCAGCTGAGAACTGAACGGAGCCCTCTGGAATGCTGGGAACTGAACAGGGTCCTCTGGAATTTTAGCAAGTGCATACCTGCCGAGCCGTCTCTCTGGCCTCTGTTGATGGATTTATAGTTCCTGGACTGTTGGGAGCTGGTGGACCCTATGGCAGGTGTAACCTAGTCAGAGGAAGAGAGTCGGTGAGGATGTGCCCTTGAAAAGTATAACTAGGGTGGTGGCGGCTCACACCTTTAATCCCAGCACTCGGGAGGCAGAGCCAGGTGGATCTCTGTGAGTTCGAGGCCAGCCTGGGCTACATAGTGAGTTCTAGGAAAGGCACAAAACTACACAGAGAAACCCTGTCTCGAGAAACAAAAAAACAAAAACAAACAAACAAATGAAAAGTATAACTAGTTCCCAGACTGCACTGTGTGTGTCTGTGTGTGTTTTTGTGTATGTGCCTGTGTGTATATGTGTATCTCTGTGTGTATGTGTGTGTGTCTGTATGTGTGTCTGTGTGTGTGTTTGTGTCTGTGTGTATCTCTCTGTGTGTGTGTCTGTGTGTGCGTGTGTTTGTGTGTGTATCTGTGTCTCTGTGTGTGTTTGTGTGTGTGTGCCTGTGTGTGTATCTCTCTGTGTGTCTGTGTGTGTGTGTGTGTGTGTGTGTATGTGTGTGTGTCTGTGTGTGTGTGTGTGTGTGTGTGTGTGTGTGTGTGCCTGTGACAGAACAAACCTTGTTCTAGGTACCGTGGAGGGAAAACAAGTCACTGTGGTTCTGACAACTCCTCCAAGTCTCAGGACAGAAATTATGACCTCATAAGGTGGTGTTGGGAGCTGGAGAGACGGCTCAGGAGTTAAGAACACTTGTTGCTCTGGCCGAGGACCCAGGTTCAGCTCCCAGCACCCACATGGCGGCTCACAGCCATCTGTGACTCCAGTTCTAAGGGACCTGGCGCCCTCTGCTGGCCTCAGCAGGCACCAGGCATGCAGGTGGTGCACAGATACATGGGTACAGGCACTTCCTCGCAAAATAAAACCAAATAAATAGTCTTTAAAAAGACTGAGTGTGAGCTTGGTAAGGACAACTTACCTCAGCTTCCTCCCTCGGTGGTGGGAACCCCACTCTTCCCCACACTCCCTCAGTGGCTGGGCCTGAGAGGGGAGTTCAGGCCTGAGATATTCTGACCATGAATAGGCAGGCACAGCATCTTACCTGCTCATGTCGATCCTGGAGATCTCGGCTGAGCTGAATAAGGGGACGAAAGGAATGCATTCAGCCATTAAAATTCCCTAAGGTGGTGAGGGACACTCTATCCCACCTCCATCTCCTTCAATGCATGTTCCCCACATAAGCCTGGGGAGCTGGGGGCCGTGTAGCCCTATGGTCAGACCCCAGGCTGGGGTTTCCTCTCTCCCTACAGGACAACTTCTCTGTGACACCAGTTCCAGTGGCTTCTAGAAATCTCCAGTGTCACTTCTCTGCCTTCTGTGGACAGGAGGGTGTATCAGCAAAAGGCTGGCCCAGGCACCTGCCAGAATTCTTTATTTCACATCTTTGGTATCTGGGCTGAGACCGAGTCTCACGGTGTAGCCCAGGCAGGCCTTGAACCTGTGACCCTCCTGCCTATGCTGGGGTCGGAGGCTGCTCCTCCACACACTTCTTACCCCTCTTGCTCCTCAGGTGCATGATGATGCCCGACCCCAGGAAGAGGAGTCCCAGCACCAGGCCACACATTCCCGTCAGCATCTTGTTTCGGGCAGAGTCAGACCCGACCTCTGGAAAGGAGAACTCAGAGTTTGTGTCCTGTCCGGCAGGCACACCACACCTTACTGCCCTCTGGTAGGGATGCGGAATATCAGTATGAAGGTCACCGAGAGGGACACATCATGGGGAAGAAGATGTAGAAGGACTCTGAGATCTAGACCTAGGCTGGTGTCTTAAATGGACCTGAGTGTGGATTCTGGCCGCTGCCTCTCAGAACAAGGACAGACTACAGACAGAATGAGGGAGTCAGGCCCTGTGTGAGGACAGAGCAGGGCTTGTCTGCCTCCCTAGACTCCTGACAAGGGCAGACCCAGTATCCTCAACATTCCCAGGCCAGGCCAGGCTCTCCTCTCATGCCTCCAGCTCAGAAGCAGCCTTAGGGGCCTCCAGGAAGCACAGGGATGATCGGGGATGATCAGGACCCAGTGTACAAACACCTAGGGCAGGATCGTGGACCGTGAGCCAGGGTGCCACCTGCTCTGCAGAATGCAGACTGAGGAGGGTCCCCGGGGTGACTCACTCCACTCCACAGTGACGGGGCTCTGCAGGCTGGGGTGCTCCACATGGCAGGTGTAGACGTCCCCCCGCTGAGGGGTCATCTCCAGCATGACCAGGATCTGGAAGGTCCAGTCCCCGTTTCGGATCAGGTTGGTGGACACGACCCCAGCAGTTTCCTCCTGGTTGTTCCGGAACCAGCGGACTTGAATGCTGCCTGGGTAGAAATCTGTCACATGGCAGACCAGCAGGTCATGGTGCTGCAGGGTGACCTTCTTGGAGGGTGACACCTGTACCCTAGGCTGGACTAGGAACAGGAAAGGAGTGACATGTGAAAGTGATTCTGTGGCACACACCTTTAATCCCAGGTAACAGAGGTACTCAGGTAACAGAGGCAGGGGGATCTCTGTGAGTTTGAGGCCAGCCTGGTCTACATAGTGAGTTCCAAGACAGCCAGGAACAAATGGTGAGACTTTTTTTTTTCTTTTAACAATAAGACTCCCACCTTTTCAACACTTTGTCGTGGTGAGAAAGATGCAGGATTCATTCGAATAATTTCTTTTTTAAATTCATTTTTAAAGATTTATTTATATTTATTTACGTACAGGAATGTTTTGCCTGCATGTATGTCTGTGCATTATGTGCGTGCCTGGTGCCCTCGGAGGTCAGAAGACAGTGTTCATCCCTCGGAACTGGAGTCACAGATGGTTGTGGTCTACCATGTGGGTGCTGGGAACTGAACCTGGGTCCTCTGTAAGAGCAGCCACTGCTCTTACCCACCGAGCCACCAATCCAGCTCTCAGTTTCTTGAAGTTAATGTACAGACAAACGCACTCATGGGCTTTCCAATATAACAACTTTTAAACATGTTAAAAATTTAATTATGTTTATGAGTGGGTTCGTGTGTGGGTTTGCACACGTGAGTGCAGTGCCTGAGGAGGCCAGAGATTACAGGTGGCTGTGGCATTGACATGGGTGTGGGAACCAAACCCGGGTCCTCTGTTAGAGCCGTCCTCACTCTCAGCCGGGGGGCCGTCCTCCCAGCCCCCCCCCCCATCTAATACATGAGACACATCTGATGTCACTCTCTGTATTTTACGGCCTCGGGGTTGTGCGGCCTCCAAGATCTCGCTCCTCACAACAACACCTTTAAAACAACACTCTGAGCTCCATGTGTGGGAATCTTCACCCATTCCCAACTTCCTCTTCTGTTTTTTGGGTGCCCGGGAAGCCAGCCACAGATGGAGGTCTCTGCGTCTCTCTCCTTGCTCTCTCCTTGTTCATTTCCCCTGATGCTCAAACTCAACCTCCCTACTGCTGCCCACTTCCTGTGGCCTCACAGCCCTCCAGAGAGTTGCTACTTTTGGACATCTGCCACCGGGCTGTACTCCCCTTCAGAGGCCAGAAAACAACAATCTGCTCTGCAGAAAGGCTGGTGCAGGGGGATTTCCACACCACAGCTTCCTGGCCCTAAGACCTTTCAGTTTCCAGTCTCCACACCAACACCCTGAGGATGGGGCACGCTCCTCACAGTGTCCATTGTCTCCTACAGCTCTTGGCCTCAGGTCAAGCTGCTCACCCTACTGGCCTTCTGCAGCTCAAGGCAATGCCCTGTTAGAGCCACTTCGGCCACTTTTATAAACTGACAGTTCCTCAATTATCTCCTTCCTGAGTTGTGATTTGTGAGTTAAGACATGTCTCCCTGCCTTTGAACTCCTGGACTTCAAGTTTGTCTGTTTTGTGCCAGAACGCTCCACGAAGATACTTTGCCTGCAGTATGCAACTGACCTCTAGGGGGCTCTGGAGCTAAATCTTCAGGCCTAAGGAACTTAACTACTTTAAAAAAAAAAAAAATTCACCAAGACTAAAGATTTCCCACATAGTAAGGCTTCAAGCTGAATGGCCACTGAACATCTTATATGATTTATTTCTAGAATTTTGTTGATTATCCACATTAGAAATTTAGTCCAGATGGGTGCAGTGATGCACTCCTGTGAATCCAAACATTCCTGAGGCTAAAAGGAAGAAAAATCCATAACTCAAGGGCAGCCTGAGTTACAGAGATTCTTTCTCAAGGGGGAGAGGGATGGAGGTGGCTCAGAGGTTAAGAGCACATGATGCTCTTCCAAAGGACCCGGGTTCAATCCCTAGCACCCACATGGTAGCTCACAACTGTCTGTAACTCCAGTTCCAGGGAATCTGACACCCTCTTCTGGCCTTCACAGGCACCAATACAGATATGGTGGTGCACAGACAGACAAACAGACAGGCATGCAGGCAAAACACCTGCACACATAAAATGAAATTTTAAAAAGGGGGAAAAAAGAAATTTCCTAGCTCTTAATCATTCTGTTTTCTTTTTTGTTAATTATTTGGTTATTTATTTTGAATAATTTTGACATTAAACTACAAAGGTATTTCCTCTCTCATAATTGATGCCGTAATTACTATTGCTAGGATGATATTTCCTTATCCACTGCTCCGACTCCGGCCTTTTCTCTTCCCAGCTCATTTAACACCCTGAAAACCCCGCTGCAACCTTGACATTTCCTATTTCGACAACAGTTCTGTGTGGTGTAAACCCAGCTGTAATTCCAGGGCTTTCGATCTTGAGGCCAGTGGATGGTGAGTTCTAGTCCAGCCTGGGCTACACAGTGAACTGGTCTCAACAACCATCCTCAGGGTCTGCCAGCACTTACCCGTCACACTGTCATCCCGGGGACACTAACTGAAAACCTTTCAGATCTCTGCACCACCAGGTGTGGGTCTCTGGGTGGTGATTCTGGGGGTTCTGCTGAGCAGAGTGAGTCTGGGACACTCTAGTCCGAGTGATTCACCCAGGGCTCTCTGCACCCTGGCACACTGGAGGAAAGGGTGCCAGCCTATAGCTGAGGGCAACCCCATGTGCTTTGGATGCTACCTAGCTACTCTGTGTCATCTTTTCTAGCTCAGGCCACTGTCCTGATTCCTTCCCAATCTGTCTGGATTCTCACTCATTCCCGGAAGTCAGGACTTAGCTGGTGACTGGAAATCCTGGTTCCCAAAGAGTGTTAAAGGCATGTCCCCCATGCTCTCCCCTGTGCCTTCGGAAGGTTCCCCCCTTCTCCCCTGCCTCTTGCTCCCTCGGGTCTCCTCAGGATGCTCACCAGGCTCCCTCACTCCAAAAGCTGAGGGGGGGGGGAGGAGCCAAGGCTCTTTTTTGCCAGCCTCCTGACTCCGCACAGCTCACCTCTCTCCCGCTCACTCTCTGCCTCCTAGTCTCCACCTGTCAGCTCTCTCTGGTTTCCCGACCCTTCAACTTCTGCGGACTTACCTCCCGAAACTGTTGGTCCCACCGTTTTCTGACACACTCTCTACCTGTGACACTTCTCTGCCCCGGGTTTTGCTTCACTTCATGCTCTCCTCACAGGGACTGCTGCTCTTAGCCAGCACCGGCTCCAGTGTCCCCAGGACTCAGCTTTATTCTCTTTACTGATTGGTCTTCCTAGATGACCTCACCCGGCAGACCCTCCTACTCCTGTCCTTGAGGCCCGAGTCCCCGCCGCCCCTGTGTCCCCCGCACAACCCGCGCTGCTGGGAGGTGGCACTTGATGTCCCATCTCCCCACAGTCCGCTGCGATTGTCCCATGGCCCGGCTCCCTTCACCCCACAGCAGGCTGGTTACCGGACATGACAACGCTCTTGATATTCCTGACTCCCACGGTGTGCCCACGTCCGGCTCTGCACCGCTGGCCCGGGCCCCTTTCCCCCCAAGGCTCCGCCGCCTGCCCCCCCCGTCTCCCCCCCGCCCCCCGGCTGCTGCAGCAGCTCCCGCCTGGCCTTGCTGTCCGTCTGGGCCTCACCTTGGCGCTTCACGGTGAAGCCTTGGTTCAGCTCGTAGTTGTGTCTGCACACCGTGTCCACCTCGGCCCTCCGTCGCTCCATGTAGTCCTTCTGGCTGTTCCAGGACTCGGCCCACGGCCGCCCCATGGCGGTGAGCGCGCGGAACTCGCCCTCGGCGCTGTCGAAGCGCATGAACTCCTCACGGTCGAAGATGCATCTCATGATGTAGCGCTGCTGCGTCCCGTTCTTCTCTGCGTAGCACTCGTGCAGCGCGCGCAGCAGGTGGTTCTCTGCGGGCAGCAGAAGCCAAGTCCTGGGGCGCCGGGACCCCGCCCTTTTTCTCCCTCTGTCTCCCCCTCCCCAGTTCATCTCTCCTCTTTCTTCTCTCCCGCTTTCTCTCCTCCCCCCTCTGTCTTTCTCTCTCAATCAGTGCTGCCCAGCTGTGCATGGCTGTGGGGACATCCACTGGAGCACGGGACACCTACTAGTGACCACACATTCAGAAAGCAATGATTACGGGGTTGGATGGAGGCGGGGTGGTTAAAAGCGCTGCCGCTGCTGCAGAGAACCAGCACCCACACGGTGGCTCACAACCGCCTGGAACTCCAATTCCAAGAGATCAAAGCCTGCGTCTGCCGTCCGATGGCTCCAGGCACACCTCTCAAGGTGCACAAATATACATGCAGGCAAAGCGCGCGCGAACACACACACACACACACACACACACACACACACACACACACACACACACACAGAGTCTTCCTTTTCCAGTAGGTCCCTGGGCCTTGGTTTCCTCACCAGTGAGGTTCACAGGACGTAAGGGACTTCCGGCTGAGGGGTGACTAGTACCTGTCTCTGGGAAGGGTTGGGGCACTGAGGACAAAGTTCTCAAAGCAGTTCTGTGTGCTGCTGAGTGGGGAGACACTCCACATGGGACCACCAGGAGCTACAGAATCTCATCACCGCAGTCCCTACAGAAGTGAAGCTGCAGGGTAGGGCATGGGGTCGCTGACCCCTCTATCTGTGGGGACTCCTGCCTGACCCAGCCACCTTGGACACAGTCAAATGTCACCGCCACCAGGAGCCTCCCCTCCCCCTTCTCTTCCCCATAGCAAGATGCTTTCCCGTCTGTGCCAATGTCTTAACTGCTCCTTCGTGCTGTAAATGCAGAAATAAATCCATAAATATAAGATATAAAATGAAACTTCTTAGTCTAAACGTTAATGTGCTATTTCACCTTTCAAGTCTCCATGCGGGAAGACTTAGTCTTAAAAGGTATGGACTGTATGTGTGGAAACACCGCGATGAAATTCACCTGTTTGCACGATAACTTCGAAAACTGACCAGGGCTGGAGAGATGATGGATCAGCAGTTAAGAACACTGGATGCTCTCACAGAGGACTTGGGATTCAATTCCCAGCACCCACAGGGCTGCTTACAGCCACCTGTAACTCCAGTTCCAGGGAGTCCAAGGCCCTCTTCTGACCTTTGTGGGTCCCAGGCACATACACAGCGCACAGCAAGCACACAGGCAAAACATCCCACACAAGCAAATAAAATAAAAGTAAGTAAATAAAAAATATAGGGAATTAATTTTTTAAAAGATGGGATGGCAGCATGGTAGCTCTCACCTGAAGTCCCAGTGCTAAGGATGCGGAGGCAGGAGGATTGCTGCAAATCTTGGGACAACCTGATCTAGGGGTGGAGGGGGTGGATACTGCCCCGGACCTTAATCACTGAAAATCACCACAGCAGAGCTCCAGGGGGTCCCCTCGCCTAGAGGCACTGGCTGGGTAACTGTTATAAAAGGGACGTGGGAACCCTCCCTCTCCTCCTAGGAGCCGCCCGCAGTGTGGGTCCGTTCTGTTTGTCCTGCGTGAGCCTCTGTGAGTCTGTCTGTGCTTACTCACGTGGGGGAAATGGAGATGGTGTGGTTGTTTTCATGTTCCACCCGCTGAAATTAGCATCTCAAAGCAAATCCTGCCTTCTTTCTGACTCCAACAACCAGCTCCCCCCACAATCCATCCAGATCCGAAGATAAAACGGAAGGTCGTGTTTCTACCACCAGGGGGCGCTCTAAACCGTCCATTAATGTGTTTCATAACCAGCAGCCTGGCCGCTGGGAGCAGCTTGGCGATGGAGGCTTGCCTTGGATCCCTGCCTTGGATCCCATTCCCATCACCGCGGGTAATAAACACACTAAACTAAGTAAGCTGTCGCTTCATTTAAAAGGATATCAGGTGGTGGTGTGGTGGTGTATGCCTGAGAAGCTGAGGCAGGGGCATTGTGGAGAGCTGGAGACCATCCTGAACTCTCAAAACCCCATAAGAAAAAGAGGATACCAGAAGTTAAAGGGCCAAGTCTGATCGGTCTCACAGCTTCTGAGACCACACTATTAACACACTGGAGGGACACCCAATGCATTTGACATAAGATGCCTGTTAATTAATTAACTTTTCCTCCTATCATGTCAGATGGTGATGTTGATGAACTGGGTGGGCCTAAAGACGGAGACAGGAACCCAGAGCCCAGACAAATCTGCCCTGTTGCTGTAGCTACAGACACTGGGAAGCCCCCTGAGGTCGAGAGTAAACAAGGCTGAGGTGCAGATGCAGGGAGAGACGACTATGGGATGTTCTGGTGTTTCCCATAGTGATGCCTGAACAGCTGGCTCATCCTGGTGGGCTCAGGAGGACAGAGGGGAGGGTTGGAAAACCTTTGGGCACTGTAATAGCCAGACGGACACTCTACTCCGAAGTCCTGACCTGCCTCCATGGCAGGTGTCTCTCACTCAGCCCAGGGCCCCCGTCCATCGTCCATCACTCCCCACCCCCTTCCACACATTCTCTCTCCCTCTCCAGTCACCCGCCTCTCCTTGTCTGCTTGCCCCACTATGGATGTGGATCTTGTCATTTTAATTCATTAGTTTTCACTTCTCCTTGTTTATCAGCAAATAATGTTTTTATAAGCAAGGAAAATAAAACTTTTCTCTGGCAGTACTTAGCTTTTGTAAATGGAAGTTATCTGTGAAGCAGGTAAGATTGAAACATGTTCAGTCTCCCTCCCCCGCTGTCGTTATTCAGACATTACTCATTCAGTCGTTACTCTGCTAAGCCCCTTCCCTGGGCCATCACTCTTGATTCCCAGGACCCTGAGGGCACAGTTTCCACAGCTGAGCAGTTCCCTTTAGTTGGGTCTCACAGCCTCTGTGACCACCAAGGACAGGTTCTCTCTTTCTCCTCAGCAAGTGCACATGATGTCACAGGAGAAACCCTGGGGCTTGAGGGCTGGACTCGGGGTGGGGTGCGGTGGGGTTCAAATACAGTTATTCCAGAAAAAAAAAAAAGGCAAAAGGAGGACACTGTATTTTAGGTCCATCCTAGGATGTGGTAAACCTAGGGCTTGACAGCTCAGTGTCACTTTGGAAATGGGAGGAGCATCCTGAGAAATGCTGGATCCCGCCAGCCACAGCATCACACAAGCCATGGGGACGTGAGGCAGGCCTTCCATTAGCTGTCTGTCTGGTCATCCACACTCATTGGTTCTCGTGTGCCTACACACCCTCATCTTGTTCTCCCACAGTTCTCAACCCACTCCAAGACTAGCGAGGGTCTCAGAAAGTTAGCCTTCAACAAGAACGCTATTGCGGCAGAACCACAGTCCATCTCGATTGGTCGTTCAAGAGCACAGCCTCCAGCCCCACCCTGGGGGAGCAGAAGCCACTCTCTCTGAACCCTGAGTCAGGTGACCTGAGTCCCTTCAAGGCTATGATGGGGATGTGGGAAAGGAAACCCAGGAGGCTGAGCCTTCTGACCTCTCCATAAACCTTGACCTGCAAACGCGTTCTAGAACTCTAGGTCCCTTGTCCAAGGGACATGCATGCCAACCCCTTAACACCTCTGCCCGGTTCAGAGTGGGAAAACTGGCTGAACAGCGGTGGGGAGGTGAACCTGCTTTTCTAGCTGGGAAGGGAGGACACGGGCTGTGGGAAAGACCCCCCCCCCCAAGTAGTTCTCAAAGTGTGGTCCTATAACGGAATGATCCTGAAGCCCAGGCCCTCCAGAGTCGCCGCTGTTCGGTCTTACCTGGAGGGGCCCCACCCTGGATCCCTCTGCTCAGCAACACCGTCAGAGCTGCTAACCAGGGGGCCACAGGGACCCACAGGACCATCATGGAGTTGGCAGGGTGGGTGAATGAGGAAAGTAGCCTCCAGGGGATGGAGGACTCCCTAAGCTGGACTCCTGGATGAACAGCAGAGACTATTGACTAAAGTTGACTGTGACCCCAGAATTGGACAGAGTGTGAGGAAAGAACCAATCAGGCTTGAGCTTCTTATGAGTCATCTGTCACTGGGCAGATGGTGTGAGAGGCCTGACCACCTAGGAGGTGATGCAGGGGAGATGACATTGAGGATAGAGGGCAGTGACGCTCGCTTTAACAGCCCGGGGGAGAATGTGTTCTCTGCTCTGAGAACATCAGACATCCTGCTGACCCATCTCTGGGACTATCATTCCTCCAGTCCCACCACCTCTCACACACTCTTAGGACAGGGGATGGAGCAAGTGTCCTCTTAGGGTGTGAACGGTCACTCATTGGCATGACCTGTATAGAGTTTACTGTGAGCATCCCAGAATTCGGGATGAGTCCTGGATCTGTCTGCTTTGCTGTTGTTGGTTGTTTTTTTTTTCACTCTTTGCTCTTTGGGGATCCACCACCCATCTCCCAAATAAAACACATGGAGGCTTATTATTTCTTATGAAAGCCTGGCCTTAACTTGGCTTGTTTCTAGTCAGCTTTTCTTAAGTTATCCTGGGTTTTTTCCATTTCTTACTTCTGGGTATCTTACTTTCACTCTTACTCTGTGGCTGGCTGGCTGGCTGGCTGGGTGGGTGGCTGGGTGGCTGGCTGGCTGGGTGGTTGGGTGGCTTGCTGGGTGGCTGGCTGGGTGGCTGTGTGGCTGGTCCTCCTCTTCTTCCTTTTCTTGCTCTTTGGTCCCTTCTTCCCAGATTTCTCCTCCTATTTAATTCTCTCTGCCTGCCAGCCCTGCCTATCCTTTCTCTGCTCAGCTATTGACCGTTCAGCTCTTTATTAGACCATCAGGTGTTTTAGACAGGCACAGTAACACAGCTTCACAGAGTTAAACAAATGCAACATCAAAGAATGTAACACATCTTTGCATCATTAAAATAAATGTTCCACAGCATAAACAAATGTAACACATCTTAAAATAATACTCCATAACACTTTGCCTCTGCCCAAGGGCATGTTCAGGAGATCACCTACCCCCTTGTATTTCTCTCAGAGGTCTGTTGGTTCTGGAGGGTACAGGAGTCCCAGGATACCTCCCCAGGACTTTGACAGGTTAGGGGGGGAGAGATCAGCAAGACATCTTACAGGGTCCTCCGACCTGGGAGTCTGGCACACCTATAAGTATGTAAATATGTGATTTTAAGGATTTTGCTTTTGGGGACTTGGACTGTCTGCAGAATGGAGCTGCTATAAACCACATTATAGCAACATTGTTAAGGTCATGTGACAAAAATAGAGCTCAAACTGCTTCAAGACAGTCAACCCACAGGGAATAGGAACAGACAGGCATAAAGGTGAGAGACGTGAATAACTACCAAAGCCCAACCTCCCGCAAAACATCTGATTATGTCGTACTTATCATGAATAGTTTCACCAACTTCCAAAGGGGATCATTCCCTGCTTTATAATTTGTAGCTGAATCCTGTGAGGCCACAGCTTCTGATAAAGAAAACATTATGTTGCCATCATTTCCTTATATCGATATTAAAATGTGAACAAACCATCACCATATAGAGAAGAACATAATCACATAACATGAAGCTTCTATTAGGTATATAGAGTCCGGGAAAGAAAACTTCAGTTCTCTAGAGGCGCCGGGGTTCCTGGCTGGAGTTTCCTTGTCTCTCATCTGCTATGGACAGAGACACTTAACGCCCCAGTGTCTCTGAATGGAGGAAGCTGGGGAGAAGGAGGAGGAGTTTCATGGGAGCCGGGACCCCAGGGCATCACCCACTGGGACCGGGGTGACCCACTCCCACCGACTGCCAGCAGCGCAAACACTGACTGGATGTCCCGCACGGCTTCCATGACGTTGATCTCACACGTGAGCTTCTTTGTCACGCAGTCGAGGGCAGCCACATGACCCCGACGACCTCCTAATGCCAGGTGTCTGTTGGAGGTGAAGCAAAGGCCGAGTGTTGAGGCGGGGAGCGCCCTGACCTGACTGCAATCATGCGGTCTGCCCACCCCAGCCCCCGACAGACGGGAGGAAACGCTGCTGTAGACAGCAGCAGCCAGACACACAGCGTAGCTGAGGAAGGCACAGCCCCTGTAGCTGAGGAAACAGCCATATCGAGTTCACCGGTCAGAGCGGCTAGGACGACGGCTCAGTCAGTAAAGAGGCTGCCACGAAAGCGTAACGTCCTGAGCCTGGATCCCGGGCTCACGCGTAATGCCGGCGCCAGGGAGGCCGGGACGGGCAGGTCTTGCTGGACATCAGACTAGGCGGTAACGGGCTCCAGGTTCAGTGAGGAACCCTGCTCAAAGGTGGAGACTAAAGAGAGGCCTCAGGGGCGAAGAACACTTGCTGCTTTCCTAGAGAACCTGGGTTCGGTTCCCAGCACCCCCACGTCAACTCACAACTGTCGGTAACTCCGGTTCCAGAGGATCCAGCACCCTCTTCTGGCCTCTGTGGGCACCAGGCATGCGTGTGGTGCCCAGACACACACACCGGCCAGACACTCAGACACGTAAGATAAAATGAAAAATATTAAAAACGGTGGACAAAACATCAGAGATAATCTGATGTCGAGGGTGGCAGTGATGTGGGGAACCTGGGAAGACTATTCTGTCCAATAGTAGAACCCAGTACAAACCCAGTCCGGCACCAGGAGGGCGTGAGCCTTATCTCCTCAAGTCTCTACCCCTGGCAGCGACTGTGACTGAAGCTTCATGGCCCTGTCAGCTTCTGAAAACCTCCCTCCTCTTTAGCCCCTTCTACCCAGCAACAGCTAGGTCAGCTCTCCGACTTCTCTGATTGGCTGACCCAGCCCTTATTTTTTGAATCCGTGTAGTCAGGATAGGAAGCCCCGTTTCAGGGTTTCACCTGTCCACATTCTGCCTCGGTTCATCACTGTCCTGTGATCACAGTCTTCAGCTGTAGATCCCCAACCTGAGCTCTGAGGAGAGAATGTTCCAGACGAAAGCCGAGGTCCTGAGAGCCTCCTTCCTGGCTTTCCTGCTGAGTCTCCCAGGATCTGGGGCCATCAAAGGTCAGGAGGATGGGTGGGGCACAGGTGGGGACAGCTATTCACCCTCCTTAGAATGGGAGATTTTGCAGGACTCGATCCATCTCCCTCACGCCTCTCCTCTCCTCGTTCCCTTCTGTGAAGTTCACTTGGTTTCATCCCGCTCTAAAAATCCTAAGAACAGACACAGCAGGGCTGGAGAGGTGGCTCAGTGGTTAACAGCACTGGCTGCTCTTGCAGAGGGTCTGGGTTCAATTCCCGGCACCCACACGGCAGTTCCTAACCATCTGTAGCTCCAGTTCCGCGGGACCTGATGTCCTCTTCTGGCCTCTGTGGGCACTGCCCACACGTGTGCACTTATATTTACGCAGGCAAACACTCCACATACGTAAAGTAAAAATAAATGAGTCTTATAAGACACAGCAGCCACAATCACCATTCACACCTCACAGGAACCATCTGTGAAAATATTTTAGCCTGTCTCTGAGAGATGAAAACACTAAGCTAAAAAGATTAAAACGTGTTCCAAAGTTGTTCCCTCAGTCAGGGGTCAAGGTTAAAATCCACACACAACTCTGATGACAGACTGACTCTGTGCATGAGGGATTTACAGCTGAACCCGGCCAGGACCCCACAGCCCAGATCCTCAAGCCCCAGTTTGTGTGGATGAGGAGTGTGGAACCCAGCAGAGCGCTGGGTATAGAGTTACAAGTTATAGTCCTTCATTTCAAATAAGTCAAGGTAGGAATGCAATGAGCTAGTCACGTCACACCCTCAGTCAAAAACAAAGAATAAGACCCTGGGAGGCAGAGACAGTGGCTCTCTGTGGGTTCAAGGCCAGCCTGGTCTACAGAGTGGAAGACAGCCAGGGTTTTTTGGTAAGAACCTGTCTCAGAACCAACAGACAAAATCCAAAGAATGTAAACACACCCTTGCTTGATATTCTCAGCTAGTTTTCTTTTCTCTCTCTTTTTGGATGAGTGGTGTTTGTTTGTTTGTTGTTTTGTTTTGTTTGAGATAAGGTCTTATTGTGTGTAGTCCTTGCTGGCCTAGATCTCTCTTTGAAGACAAGAGAGTCCTTTGCTGGCCTCGGACTTACAGAGATCCCCCTGCCTCTGCCTCCCAAGTGCTGGGATTAAAGGTGTGTGTTATCATGCCTGGCCACTTTCTCCTTAAACTGTTCAGCACCCTTGCCTAGGGAATGGTGCCACTCACAGTGGGCTGGGTCTTCCTACATCAGTTATCAGTCAAGCCAATCCCCCATAGACATGCCCAAAGGCCAACCTGATCTAAACAACCCTCGTCAAGACTCGTGTCCTGCATGATCCTAGGTTGTGTCAAATTTTTGGGTGAGATTAACCAGTGCAACCTGTGTCTTGTCAGCTTGACACACCTCCCTTGAATACATAAACCTTCCACCCATGTCCTAAAAGTCTCATGTTAATATAAAATAAGGCCCAACATCTTTAAATTTTTTAGAGCTTCAAAAGTTTAAACTCTCTTAACGGCCGGGCGGTGGTGGCACATGCCTTTAATCCCAGCACTCGGGAGGCAGAGCCAGGCGGATCTCTGTGAGTTCGAGGCCAGCCTGGGCTACCAAGTGAGTTCCAGGAAAGGCTCCAAAGTTACACAGAGAAACCCTGTCTCGAAAAACCAAAACAAACAAACAAATCTCTTAACTTGAAGGTTCTATAAAATATAAAATGAGGGCTAGGAGGTGGTGGTGCATGCCTTTAATCCCAGCACTTGGGAGGCAGAGGCAGGCGGATCTCTATGAATTCAAGGCCAGCCTGGTCTATGGAGCAAGTTCCAAGATAGCCAGGGCTACATGGAGAAACCATCTTGAAAAACCAAGTATGTTTATATATATATGTTATAAAATGTAACATATTTTATAAGTGAAATATATATGTATATAATAAAAATAAAGTTATGCACTAACCATTCTTATTCCCAAAAGGAAGAACTGGGCCATAAAAACAATCACCCCAAAGCAAAACCAAAATCCAGCAGTATGATTCCAAATCCAATAGCTTTGTATCTGGAATCCTGGACTTATTCATGGTCTTCTGGGCCCCAAAGGCCTTGAGTAGTCCCAGATCTCCATCTCCGCCAGCCACAGCCCACTCAACTTGTCTCTTAGGCCAGCTCCACTCTACACCTGGAGCTCTCACAGGAGAGGTCACATGGCCCTTGTAACATCTCCAACATCCTAGGATCCAGTGCAACTGAGACTTCATCTTCAGTAATGACACCTTAGGACCCTGACCCGCCACAAAGAGCCTTGCCTCTGCTACTCTGGGTAACTATTTTCTTTCTTTCTTTCTTTCTTTCTTTCTTTCTTTCTTTCTTTCTTTCTTTCTTTCTTTCTTTCTTTCTTTCTTTTTTCTTTTTTCTTTTTTCTTTTTTTGGAAAGAGGGTCTCCCTCTGTAGCTCAGGCTGGCCTAAAACTCTCAATGAAAGCCAGACTAGCCTTAAACTCATAGAGATCCACCTGCCTCTGCCTCCCACATACTGGAATCTAGGTAATTCTCCACTGAGATCCTCTTCCCTGGTGGTTCTGGGTTATGTCAAGTTGATGATTAGACTAACCAGCACAGCTCCACAGAGTTTAGTTTAAGACAGGAATTCAGGGGTAGATAGAAGCAAAAGGGGATGAGACTGGGGAGAACTGTGGGACCCAGTTCCCCATGATGGTCACTTGGGTTATTTTAAGTCTTGCATTGTAATAAATACCTTAACAAACACATTTTCATGTAAATATGAAAACTAACTCATCACGATTGTGTGTGTGTGTGTGTGTGTGTGTGTGTGTGTGTGTGTGTGTGTGTGTGTGTGTGAGCACCAGGCGTGCAGCGTGGGTCTCCACGGATGCTGGACCCGCACCCTCCTGCTAAGCTACAGGCCCAACCCTCATCACTGCCTTTGTGGGGTTCCCTTCTCGCTGGCTTCTCTCAACATGCAGATAGATTCTTCACTTTAAAAAACATAAACTACGGGGGTTGGGGATTTAGCTCAGTGGTAGAGCGCTTGCCTAGCAAACGTAAGGCCCTGGGTTCGGTCCTCAGCTCTGGAAAAGAAAAAAAAAGAACTACAAAATAAAAATTGTCCTTGCCTGTGCACAGCATCCCCCTCTCACCCGGGGCGCTCTCTGTGAGCACTCTTGTAAGCTCCCACGCCGGATGCCTGGATGCCTGTAACCTCTACGTAAGACTCAACCCAGTGGGTGCTTTGGTTTGGAGCATGTGACATATGGCTCAGGCTGGCCTTGAACTCTCAATCCTCCTGCCTCAGGCTCCTGAGTGTGCAGGAATTCCAGACTACTTGAATTCAATCCAAGTTTGTCTGTTGTTGGACCTTAAACCTCTGTTAACGTACTAATCCCCACCCTCATTTCCCTGCATTTTCCTCTTCCTTTGAATTATCTGCTTAATTATCTCGTCACTAAGGTTGTGGCCTCAGATCTTTCCAGTTCTTACTTTACACACTCTCCCTGGGGTCTCTCCTGTTTCTGTTGCTGTGATAAACATGGGAAAGAAGGGGCTTGTTTCTCCTTATAGATTACAATCCTTCACTGAGGGAAGTCAGTGGATCCATCCCTGGGCAGGAACCTGGAGGCAGGAGCTGAGGCAGAGGCCATGGAGGAGTGCTGCTCACGGGCTTGTTCCTCAAGGCTTGCTCAGCCTGGTTTTTTTATACAACCCAAGACCACCTGCCCAGGAATGGCTCCACCCACAGAGAACTGTGCCCTTCCACATCAATCATTACCCAAGAAAACGCCCCACCAACTTGCTTACAGGCCAATCAGATGGAGGCATTTTCTCAGTTTCATTCCCTTCTTCCCAGATGACCCTGGCTTGTGTCAAGTTGACAAAAACCAGACAAACAAACAAAAACAAAACCAGCACAAAACCCTTCAGGTTTCTGGCCCAAACTCGCCCCCTAAGACCCCCTCAGACCAACCCTAATGTATGACTATCTATGTGTCATTTCCACTAAGATGATGTCCATACCCCAAGCGCCACATGGAGCCCGTGTCTTCTCTTACTCAGGTTGGGTCCCTCATAATGGAATCGGGGACTGCTGTGTGCCAGGGAGATGCTGGTCACACGACACAGTGAGTTAGACGGGGTCCAAGACCAACTGCTCAATGAGTGGATTTTAAGCAACTTCACCACAAGAGTGCACATTAGAGGCAGCAATTTGGTAATCAGTGCGATTGAGCTACTCTACAATGTCTCCACATAATGGGTTATACACCGCAAATATGAAGTTTGTTTTTTGTTTTTTTTGACAGGGTTTCTCTGTGTAACAGACTGGCCTGGAACTTGCTTTGTAAGCCAGGCTGCCTCGAACTCACAGAGATCTGCCTGACTCTGCCTCCTGAGTGCTGGGATTAATGGCATGCACCACCGCTGCCTGGCAAGTGAAACTTTTTTTGTTGTTGTTGTTGGAGCTGAGGACCGAACCCAGGGCCTTGCACTTGCTAGGCAAGCGCTCTACCACTGAGCTAAGTCCCCAACCCCGTGAAACATTTTTTAAAAGTGACAAAAATAAAGGGAGAGTGAGAGAGCAAGGTAGACAGATGATAAATAGATAGACTATAGATAGATAGATAGATAGATAGATGATAGATAGATACATAGATAGATAGATAGATAGATAGATAGATAGATAGATAGATAGATGATAGATAGATAGATAGATAGATAGATAGATAGATAGATAGATAGATAGATAGA